TTGCTTTTCATTTTGATTAGTCATAGAAACTGATTTGGATGTCAATGAAGTAACTTGTTTAGATAAACAGTATCGCTCCTTAAATTCTGTATACACAGCATGCAAAGTTTCTTCAACCTCTCTTCTTGCAAATAAAAAATTAAGTAGCATGTCAAAAAAAGGATCGCTTATACGATTTAAAAGATATTTTCGTACTTACAAACTTGATTATGATATTTTTTTTTGGGTTAAGAGTTTTAAAAATACAGGCACAACAATTTATAAAAATGAAATTAACCTTTTACATAAATTTAAACAGTATGTATTTCGTAAAGATAAAAAGAAAAAACAAGTATTTATCACTAAGGAAATAGAAACAGATATAAATAGTCATTTAGAGAAGATCAAAGAATATCAACCTGTTTCTTCAGAATATTATCCTCAATCACCATCTGCTCAGTCTAAAACCAAGTAGATTTTTTTCTATGTAAGAAAAAATAGATTTATTTTTACAAATAAAATTACTTCAAAAGTTTGGTTATACAGATGTAATTTCAACTGAAGATATTTTTAGCTTTCTAGATGAACAACAAAATCAACATTTGGTATCAAAAATCAAATATTTGATTTTAAAAATATATCTATATATCTTGATCAAAATCCCCAAGTAGATAAATATTCTTTTTTTCAAAATGCAAATGATCTTTATTCTATTAATATGAAACACTATTATAAAAGAGGATTAAATAAGGGAAAATGCTAGAATTGTAGTAAAACAATAACACATGAATGTTGTGTGGCATATAAAAAAATTAAATGCGATTGTGTATATATTTGTGAACATATATACATAACTCAAAAAAACAAGCAGAATAAAGTTACACAATATGTTAAATATAAATATTATATGAATAATATAAATGATATTATTTATTCTTGTAAAGAAAAAATTCGTAATGAATCAGTAGTTCTTTTTGTAAATGAACAAAAAACACAATATAATTATAATTCTATAAATAGAAAAAATTGTTCTCATTGTGGTCAAGATCATCTAGAAACACATTGTTCTCAACTTTATTTAGAATTTATTTAATTTTTATTTTTTTATTGTTATATTTAATAAATATGCTTAGCTAGTTTAATACCGGCTAAGTTTTTATTAATATAAAACAAAAATGGCTTATACAAATTATTATTATCGTCAATATTGCTCTGATTATAATCAATTGATTAATTATATTTCTACAAAGCAAATAACTGATGAGTTATATAGAAAAGCACAAGAATTTGCTAATATTTATCAAAAACTTTTAATAAATATCAAATTAATAATGGTTATAATTTTACAAATATTAAATCTATATTACAAATTTATCAATTAATAATAACAATATATAATATAAAATTAAAATTATATAATTTTAAAACTAATTTATTGATTATTATTAAAGATTATTCTACTTAGTTATTTATCATAAAATATTTAATCAGTTGATAACCAATTAGAAATTTAATTGTGTAATTATAGAGCAATTTATAAAACAATTTGTTAAAGAATCAGAAAAATTAAAAAACAATTATATTTTTTGCAAAAAAAATTATAAAGAAGCTCAAAAATTTCATGATAAATATAAAATTTTGTTTAATGAAATAGATCTTTATCAATATTATGATTTAAAAAAAATTAAAACAGAATTACAATTTCAACAATTAGTTTTAATTATTTTTTTAATTGAAAATAAAAAAAAGATTTAATCTAATCAGTTAATTGAACCGATTAGAGTTTTAATTATGTAAAAATGGTTGTTGAATTAATTATTAAAAATATTTTTTTTTTATTAAATTTTATCTTATATTTAATTATATTATTATTCTATTAATTATTTTTTTATTTATTTTTATTTGTCATGACAAAAATTAATATTACAATTGATGGACAAACAGCTTTAGGCAAATCAAGTATGGGCAAATTATTAGCAGAAAGACTAAATTATCAATTTATTGATAGTAAATTATTTTATTGTTACATAGCATTAAATTTTTCTAATTTAGAAAAAATTAGAATAATTTCATGGTTGTTAAATCAACAAGAAGAAAATATATTAACTCAAATTAATCAAATTGACAGTAAAGAATTAATTTCTAATGAATTTTTAATTAAGATTTCAAATAACAATAATATTCGTGAAGCTATCAACAAAGTTATTCGAGAAATCACAAAACAAAAAGGATATATTGTAGTAGGTTGAGATGCCACATTTAATATACTTTCTAATGCCGAAATTAAGATTTTATTAACAGCTGAATTTGTAACATGAGTTAATCGCAGAGTTTTTCAATTTAATATTAAAGAATTTAATAATATATGGTTAGATATAATTAAAAGAGATTTAGCATCATCTGATTTGATCGAAAAAGCAAAAAAGATATCTCAAAATATTGATACAACATATCTCATATTATCAGAAGTAGTTGATAATATTTTATTATTAGTTTTTTTTTTTTTTTTTTTTAACGTCTACCCTCTTGGAAGCTAGGATTTTTATTTAGGTATATATAGCGAAGGGTTCTCTAGGGACCCCCTACATTAGAGAGTATATACTAGCCATACATACACTTTTGGTGTCTAATTTAAGTAGTCTGCCTGTATATCATACAGGTTCTATACTAGATGCCATACCTGTAACCCAACTATGGGTGTTACCTGTTTAACCTCTCTGTAATGTAACTAAACCTGTATCACCAAGACATCTCCGGTACATCTGTTAGTCAAGAAGTCTTGGATACTTTAT